TTATAATCGGTTCGAATCATCGTTGCTCCTCGGTTATGGAGACTCAACTCTCTGCTCATCATCATAGTTTAATAACTAGAACTCGAGTAAGGTTTGAGAAAGAGTTTGATATGAAGTTCATGATCTCATTACGGATCATGGCAGATTCATATGTGGTTCGTATGAAGTTTTATATGTTGAAGTAAAGAATTTTGTTAAAGAGCTTTTACGCAAAAGAACTTTGATTATTGCTAAAGTCATACCTTGAATCCCTGAGCCTGCATTCCTAAGTTCTATCAGTTTTTATTTTAGTTAAGTCTTGTTGAGTACTTTTGTACTCAGGGTTCGTTGACCCTTGTTGCAGGTGAGGCTCATGAGCAGGTCTACTTTGGACCGTGCTGCATGACTGTTGTTCAATGCGATGATGATAAGTAAATGTGTGGCCCTTGGGCAGGGCAGTTTAATTATGTGTTTTGTATTATATTATAATACCACTCCACTACTATGTTTTGTAATAATTATCGAACTTAGTTTGTAAGGTTTGAAACTACTATTTTGTAAACTAAGTTATTGTAAGACTTCCGCTATTTTACTCTGATGTAGATATTTGAATAAATGTTGTAATACTGCAATGACTCTGTAATGTGATCCTACTCGGAAATCGTGGATGATTCGGGGTTCCCCGAGGACACCCGATAGTCTTCTTAAATTACCTGGAACATATGCATAGTTGTCAGAGGTCGTTGGACTCTGACTAGCCCGTTAACAGCTCATCGAGCACCATGTTTCGTCCATCGAGGAAAAACATGGCACGGACCAGCCCCTCTGTTTTATCGAAAAAAATGCTTGAGGGATGACGATCACAAAGATGAGCCGACCCTCGATCGGACCCCTGCTACGCGCGGGGGCTTGAGGGAAGTTAGACTCGTAAGGAGACCGAACACGCGGTCGCAGGACGACGGTGGACTGATCAGATCCTAGGGGACTGGAATCAAGAAAAATCTTTCCGACCTCCCGAATCCTACGGTTACATGCCCCCAAGAAGACTGATCGTGACAAAAGGGAATCACCGTCCTACCAAGACACGCCACGGGCTAAAAAAGAAGGCCAAGGCCCTTAGAGTCCTCCCGTCCAAAAAAGCCTCCAAAGGAGTATGCTACTCCTCCGTAGGCTCGGGGGCTACTGTTCGGGTATTGATATTAGGGATACCCAAAGCAAGGAAGTTAGCGCCCACGCTGACTTCCCTAGATGGCTCGAGACATATTAAAAGGTCTCGCCCGACCCCAAGGCCGCGGGCTCCGTCTCGCCCGACCTCGAGGCCGTGGGTTCCGTCTCGCCCAACCCCTTGGGTGCGGGCTCCGTCTCGCCCGACCCTAAGAACGCGGGCTCTGTCTCGCCCGACCCCAAGGACGTAGGTTCTGTCTCACCCAAGGCCACAGGTTCTGTCTTGCCTGGCCCCAAGGACACGGGTTTTGTCTCGCCCGACCTCGAGGTCATGGGCTCCGTCTCGCCTGACCTCGAGGGCGTGGGTTCCGTCTTGTCCGACGGGGACCCATACCGCCACCAAAACTCTAATGCCAGGGAATAGGCTGGCACGACTCGATGTAACCCATGGCATGACATGCCATACCTGGGGATTCACATCAAGAACGATGTCAGGCGTGCCAGTGCTGTTCTACCTAATCCTCGTACGGACGCTGATAGGCGCGTCAGTTCACCACGACGTCCGTCGGGATGGAGTGGAAGGCCATGACCGGCAGATGACGCCTACGCATGGCGCCAGTGACAAACAGGGCTGCAACGTGGAGCCATCCTTGTTGACATCTACAGGATCGACGGGACCCGCATGAAGGAGAAGAAGGACCCGACAACCCTGGAAGCCTTCTTCTCTCTCGTTCTTCTCCTTTTTCTCCTCTGTAACCCGCGCTTTCCCTTCGCCTATAAAAGGGGAAACAGGGCACCCCATGAAAGGGGGATCTTGACACAAGAGCACGATACGAGCACATGGCTAAGCGGCAAGCAAGCTCTCAGCACCCGTTCACTCTTTCCACCAGAGACTTGAGATCCTCTCTCTCTCTCGCCTGTTTATAACCCCTACTGCAAACCAAGTGCCGGTAACACGAGCAACAGAAAACTGGACGTAGGGACGTTCCGCCCAAACTAGTATAAACCCTTGTGTCCTCCAAGCACACCATCCGAGCCAGACACGCAAATACAAATTTACTCGTCGGTGGTCCGAAAACACCAACACAATGTTCTTGCATGTTGTTGGTCAACAATGAGAGGTTTAGGGTTGTGGACCTGACATTTAAAAGGTTAGGAGAGACAATCAGTAGGTTCTTCTAGAGCGTCTTGTATGCAGTAGGTGAATTGAGGAATGAGATGATTGTCCCCCCTGCTACTAGTGTCCATCCTAAGATCTTTGGGAGCAGAAGATGGTGCCCTTACTTCAAAGTTGGTGCCCAATTTATTTAACTGAGGATCATCATTACTTAGGCCATATGTTGGTGCCTAATTTTTCACTACCAACATTGTTTTCTTGACCTAGGATTGCATATGAGCTATTGATGGGACACATGTGTTAGCTATAGTGCCCATGAAGATGCAACCTGCCTTTAGAGACAGGAAGCACACCATCACTCAAAATGTCTTGGCAGCAATGGACTTTGACCTTAGATTTACCTATGTTCTTGCTTGTTGGGAGGGATCAACACATGATGCTCTAATTCTGTCTGATGCTCTAGAAAGAGCTGATGGACTTAGAGTCCCACCAGGTATCCTACCATGAACACTAAGCATGTCTAGTTATAATTTGGGAAAGAAAACTACTAAAAATGTCCCTTTGTCCAACTTTTAGGAAAATTCGATGCTGGATATGCAGTGAGGCCTGGGTTCCTGCCACCATATCGTGCCACAAGGTATCACTTAAGGGAATTTGGTTCAAACAGACCACAAAACCAAAGGGAGCTCTTCAACCTAAGAAGAGGCGGTAGCATCATACATGCAGTTCAAGGGTTGTGAAGATGGAAAAGTTCATGTGAAGGCTCCCGCACTGGTCGTTAACAAAACATCTTGATTATTTGTTCTTTGTATTGTTCGGTCTTTTGTGTTGGTGTTGCTTCTCTTCTTCATCGTTTTCAGTGGGAAGAAATGCCTATGATGAGTCCCAATTGCCATGTATTCGGCTGATGTTCTCAACCTTGTGAGGTACTATGGAACTTTGGGATAAACACCTAGGGCTTGAACTGTTGTGTCGTTTTTATTTTCGCTGATGCTCCAAGGTCGAGTGCAATGACTAGGCAATTTGATCTGAGGCTACAATGTGCTTTTTCTAGTTGTGCTACAAATGGTGGTAAGGTCACCAATCTCATTCGTGGGTAATCGGACCAGGTGCCATGCGGCCAACCAAACAAGAACTGGAATCAACAGTTCATGCACCAAAACGATGCAAGCGGGGAATCAAACAAGATACAGGTCATCTAGAGTGGCAACTAAACACACCCGGATCACCAGCGCCAGAGCAACCAATCACCCCCTCAGAGCACGACAACAGCAGGGATACCAGCGTATTCGTCGGCATCCGCCTCGCGCACAGCCCGCGCGATGGCCCGCACCATGGACGGACTCGTCCTGCAGCACCCTCCGATGAGTGCGGTGCTCGCCCGCCTCCACTCGCCGACGCGTGACACGAAGTCCGTTCCCGTCGCGCCGTCCGAGTCCTACAAAAACGCGTGAGTGACCAACCCAAAGCAAGTTTATTTTGCTGTCACTGTTAACGCAAAAACAGGCACACATACAAAACGATCAGTTGGTGACAAAGGCAGGCTACGGTATGGAAGAAGCGCACCACCCATTCGTTCGTCTCGGCGATGTACGTCTCCCCGCTGTTCGGATACACGACGATTGGCTTCCTCGTCACCTGGGAATCTCTACCCCTATAATACACCACTTCAAATTATCCTACAGCCACCAAACAAATCCCACCTCTACAGTCATGACTTAAACTACGTCCACTCCACAAAACGCACACAGAAAAATATGACATTAAAAACGTACGCACCAAATTAACTCTCACTTATTCTCTCTCCTTACTCAACCACATCCGATGGCTGATATTCTTTGGAACTCCCACCCCCATCTCCCTGCTTCACCGCTCCACCCCACCCACGCGTCTGCACCCTTGAGCATCCCTCACGATTGCCGCAAGATTTCGCCCACGCTCGCGATGACTACCAAGGGTCTACCGATAGGATTCGATTGGATTTGATTTCTACCGTGTGTCCAACCCTAGCTTCCATCTCGATCCAATCCCAGTTCCACTTCTTCCTCCTCCTCGGCGGCAGAGGCGGCCGTCGTCGAATGAGTTGAAGATGACGGCATACTCCTAGGAAAGGTCAAGGAAAGGAAGGATTTGAGGGAAGAGAGGAGGTTGTTGGGCTCCTCCTCCATGGAGGGCGAGGCGGACGGCGGTGGCGACTCCTTCGTCTTTGTGCTCTCGGCATCCATTGCTGGCCTCAAGCGTGGTCGCGCCGCCATCGCCTCGCAGCCGCCCTTTCGACCTCATCCGCACCCCTCGGCCGCACCGCGCCGCTCATCCCGCACCCTCAACTCATCGGCCGCTTGACCTCCTCCGCCGCCGCCTCGACATCCTCCTTCTCAACCCCGACACCAAGCCAAAGGCCAGCGCCCGCGCCCACCAGATCCTCTCCTCTCCTCCTCCACCAAAGGATGCCCCCCCCATAGAAGACCATGAGGGGGCATTGTCAGTCGCCCGGCCCCGTGCTTGCCTTGATGGGCTGCCATTGGGCCCACCCTCCCCGACGCGCTTTGACTCGCGACCCCCATGCCGACGCGGATGCGGATCCGGCACACCGCGACAACATCATCATCTCGCCGGAGTCGTCGCCTAGGCGCATCACGCGCTCCATGCTCCAGCCCAAGTCTCCCCTCCTACCGCCGCTCGTTCTCCCGACAATGCGGCTCGCTCAAACCCAAAACGGAACCGCCGGAGGAAGAGGAGGATGGCAAGCCCATTCCAAAGATTGAGGCGCTTCACCAGATCACTCTTGGTCAAGGATAAGGACAAGAACGACGATGACCTCTCAGGCACCACCACCGCTAGCAATGCCTCCTCCTCCCCTTCGCCCAACACCACCACCACCACAAGTACCAGCAGCAACAATAGGAATAAGAATACAAACAAGATTCCCACCAACCTCAGGGAGCTGCTTGCCACCGGCCTGCTTGAAGGTCAGCCCGTCAAGTACATCATGAGGAAAGGCAAGGTATGTATGTCGCCATACTTTCTCTATTTACTGACCCACTGTTAAATCATAAATATGTTCCCTTCACACTTCTTTCTTACTAAGAAATGTGAGCAAAAATAAATTGTAATGAAAAAATAATCTACAATATATTGCACATTTCTTAATGATGATTTCATTTCATGCACTTGTCAAGGTGTTAGGTGCATCAAAGTAATAAGACACAATGCTGGATAGGTTAGTATTCCCTTCGTTCCAAATTGTAAGCCATTCCTGCTTTTCTAGATACATAGTTTTTGCAATTTGGAACGAAAGGAGTATAAAATAACAAAACAAAACAAGTGCTTCGTCACTACGTGATATAAGCATGACCCATCGCACCTATATTGTCTTTTCGGCACAAAAGAAAAACATGATGCATTTCACGGACGCGCGTGCTCAGGACCGCCGGCGGGCCGCCATGGCGAGGAGAAGGCTTCTCGCGCTCGTGTTCCGGATCCATGGGAGGCCTCATGCGACGCAGCTGTGGGGGCGACCCCTTCCCCGATTCCTGTCCTCAGCGGCCTCCGGTTTCGTGCGTCCGGTCACCAGGAACCCCGCTTCCTATCCATGGGATCGGTTCAGAGGTTAGGGTTTGCTCTTCCACTCCATCCGTCTTGGTTTACCTTAAAGGCGTGTTTTTTACATCTCGAAAAGTTTAGATCAGCGAATTATTTTAGGCTACTATGCTGGTAAGAGATACCTATTTCATCGGATAGATGAAAATAGTTTGTATCGATGAATTTGACAAGATGAGACCTGAAGACAGGTAGGCATCAATCAATTTATATGTTTGGTGAAACTAGAATAAACATATTACATCTCCTTTTTTGGTCTGCTCTCGAAACCACATTAACACAGTCCCCGTTTTCTTATGCTATTCCAGAGTTGCAATTCATGAGGCCATGGAGCATCAGACAATATCTATTGCCAAAGCTGGCATTCCAACATGACTCAATTCGAGGACTTCAGTTCTTGTAGCTGCCAATCCAATTGCAGGACTCTATGATGATCTTATGGTTGGTAAACATGTTTTTATTGACTCAATAAGTATCCATCTTTTTAAAGTATAAACTGTTCAGACGACCATTCTTTTGATGCTCATCAGACTGCACGAGATAATATTGGCTTCAGACGACCGTTCTTTCATGATTTGGTCTAAAGTTTATCGTCAAAGATATCAGAATGTATGATCAAGATAAGGTATGAAGCAAAATTATTTCTACAGCTTTTCTATTCTAGCTACTGAGTACATTGAGTACTTTTAATTTTAGAAAAATAAAAAAAATCATAGAAGGTTGGAGATTTTTGTTGGCTCATTCTGGCTATATACATAGTGGAGCAGCTTATCTATATGAACTTTGGGCATTACGAGGTTTCTCTTATCATCTTTGCAGTCATGGAGGAGTCACCAAACTTTAGGAGAAATCAACCATCGTCGAGGCCTTCTCCGCCGATTGCATGACTTATTTTAGTTTTATGATTTATTTTTTTCTAAGCATGATTTATTTTAGTTTTATGATTTATTTTTTCTTGACGCCATCGTAAAGTTAGCACGGGCAATTTACTTTTAAGAAAACGTTGCATTTTCATGTAAATTTAAAGTGTCGGTTGGAAATATGAACTGATCTTTCATCATGATTTCCATGTGTTCAGGTTGTTGAAGCTGCACTTAATTCTAGAATACAAAGATTGGAGCAGAGACTAATGGAAATTGATCCTCATGTGAGTCTCTGCGTCCTTAAACTTTTTATATTACATATAACTCTTGCTCTTCTTGTAGAAAACTATACACGATGATGTGTTTTTTTACTCCATACTCTATTTAAGCATTGTCACTTACATGCTTCTCAATCATTGGCTTCAAACATTTAAGCTGTTACTCCCATCCCGTATTTCATTGGGATTTCAATTTAGTCAACTTTCATCATAGTGCACACAGTGGAATTCAAACAACAATGCTTCCAGTTATTTCCATCTCTTATATGCCTTCCAGAAGCCCGACTGCAAATGAATATTTCACACATATGAGTTTTTTTTCATCACATAACAGTATTTAGCACAGTATTTAGTAGTGTCTAGACTACTTTTTTGCTGCTCTTTAATCTAATGAATATTTCACACATCTGAGTGAAATATACATATTTCAGCAGTTTGTTCTCCATCTAAAGATTGCCTATTGAAAGAAAGCCTGACAACAACTGATTTCTTCTTTTGGCCCCTTGTTCTCCATCTAATAATATATTGTCATTTTGCTTTGTGCAGGTTGTACCAGTTAGCTTGGGAGATATGCTGATAAGGTAATCTTTGTTGACCTTCCTTTTTTAACCAAACCACACTTGAATTCCTGATCTAAGCAGTAGCTACCATTCTTGTGCTTAATCCTACCTAATCCATCATATGTGTTCCGAGTATATCCTCTTGTCTGTTATGCTTGTCCAGGCAATGCAAATTTGCAGTGCCAGCCTGCTAGGTGTTAGTGTTATCCACCATTTTCCTTTCAGTCATCATCTGTGCTTGTGTTGAGTCTATTTGGAGGCTAGGCTACCACCCTGTATTGTCTCCTTGAGCCAGCGTCAGTTTCAGTTTTGGTACGGCTATATATTTATCTGATTGTGTGCTTCAGTTTTAGTTTCAGCGCCAGTACCAGTTTCAGCCAGTCCCACTAATTTGTTTAACACATATCATGATTAATATAGTAATACTTGCCAATGTGCAATTGATTCTGTGGGCAATACTCCACTATTAAGAAATTTATCCAAATTGGTTCTGTTGCCCATGTTGCAGGATTTAAAAGCTGCATGATCAAGTCTGAATGGAGGCAACCGGTCTGTATCTACCTCGATGTTCTAGGAAATTCTTGAAGATTTTTTTGACGGCTGTAGCCAAATGCTACCAGAAATGTATTAATAAATTAATATGTTCAATTTTCTGACCTGTAATGGATTGGTGTCTGACATGTATTCAGGATCTGAGATGTATCCGACAGCTATGATGACTGCCATAACGCTAAAACAGGTGCACCTGACACTAAAGCGTTGTGTGGGCGTGTTTATTTTTTTCTCTGTGAGAAATGACCATTCTTTGCGAGACAATGAATTTGTGTTTCTTTCATAGTTGATTTATTTTTTAGTATTACGATTAATTTTAGTTTATGATTTATATTTTTTTTAGATATCACCGTAGCGTTAGCACAGGCAATATACTAGTAAATGAAATTGCCGAGTTTCAAATAATGCTTCTGTTGGCAACGCTATATACGGCTATAGTAGGACGAACAGGCATACTGACAGAGGGTAGAGCCAGAGAGATCGATGCACCTTTTTGATGGAGAGGATAAGGCTGACCGCACCGCGCCTACGCCAAGCCAACCGGCAAAGCAGGATGGCCCACCGTCAGCACTCCTTTTACAGGTCGGGAACGGGCAGCACGCTGCCGCCGGAGGGCCTGTATACGGCCCCCCAAATCATGCCGCAGCCCGTCGCTGGTGCGGATACAGGCGTGGGGCCCGCCCCGAGAGCGGATACAGGCGCGGGGCGGAACCTCTGCCTGTCCCGGTCTCCTGTAGCGAACGGAGATTTGGCGTACCCCATAGTGGCGCGCGGTGCAGCTACTCCACCGCCATATTTGCAGGCGAGGTCCATTCCCAGGTCCCGGGTGCGGATAGCCTAAGCCCGTGGATGAGCCTGGGAGCAGTGCAGTTCACTCCGACCGCGGTCACCCTCTGGCAGGAATCAGCAGCGGCCACCCTCTGGCAGGACTCGGTGATCGGGTCTCCGCTCGCCGCGTTAACCCCGTCCTTGGAAGTGAAAGAGAACCAGGCTGGGATCCGTATGCCGTTCTCCTCCAGGAGCTCAGCGTAGGCCTGCAGGCACACGGTCCAGGTAGCCATAGCACGGCAACATCTGTGCAGATGAAATACAAATCGCTAGGATCCCGCGGCCATTTGCTACGTGTAATGTACTGTATGTACCTGCGCTTCGAGCTTGTTTGGGATGGTCTCGAAGGCGATGAGGTCGGGCCCCGCGCCTGCCAGCACCTGCAGCCGCCTCCTGTGGAAGTTCTTGAGCGCTTCTTCTTTCGTGACCGATTTGCCATAATCCCCACTGTACTCGGAGTCGTCTGCCCGGTACCCCGTAGCTCCCGATGGAGGCCGCCACCAGCACCGGCGGGCGTTTGCGGCGCGACCTGCTGTCGCCCACCGCGAAGAAGACTCTGCGCGCCTCCTGCGCGACGTGCACGCTACGACGCAGCAGCTCCTCGCTGTCGTCCCGCGAGAAGCCCCTCGACTGGAACCCCTCGATCGTGGCCTGCGTGCGCCACCAGCGACCGATCGATCACCGGTCGTCGTGACATTGTGATACGGTCCAGGTCAAGAGTCAAACCCGCGCGCGTGCGCAGGAAAAAAGAGCAGTGTACGACAATGGAAAGGGCATGCATGCCCTGCACAGTATGCGCACCTGGTAGGACGCCGAGATTATGACATCCGCGCCTGCTTCGAGGTAGTCCAGATGGACCTGTGCTTTTTTTTTCAGAGAAAAACACAAAAAGTCGCTTGTGAGTTGTGATAGTAAGTTAGTAACCCTCTGTGCATCGTGTAGTTTTAGCCGATTCGATTCAAAACAACGGTAAAAATTAGCGGCCGTCGCGGTGGTGGTGGACTGGTGCTTGACCTTGCGGATGAGATGCGGGGCGGAGGCGAGGCACTTGGTGCTCCAGAGCGCGTCGTGCAGGTCCGCGCCGTGCGCCTCCAGCTCCGTGCCGGGGCCCCGTCCACCACCGCGCACCCGCCCGCTTCCCGCACGAAGCCGCGCAGCGCGCCCGCCGCGTCGACGACGATGGGTCCTCGGCCACCGAGCAACATTTTTCAAAGGACGATGCTGAACGCACGCACGGCGACGGATCGAAGAGAATTCGATTGGATGGGGAAGAAACGCAGGACCGGGCGTACTGTGGTGAATGAATGCATAATATAATAGATAGATAGATGCTGAATGCACGGGTGGACACGCAGAAACTGCACGTGGCTGGAGCGGCGAAGCTCGAGGGACGTGTGCGAAGCCAAGGAAGTCGATGAGCGGCGCTGTACGTGTCGTCCTGTGCTGCTGGCAGAGCATTTTACGCGCATGCACGTCAGCATGTGACCAATGCATGGGCGTCGCACCACGACTGCAGGACAGTAGAGCAGCGCCGCAGATGGACTCGATCGATTTTCCCGGCAACTCGTTTAGGACCATATCGCGCGTCATATCAGCGAACTCCTGCGCGTCATATCAATTTTGCCGAAGTATTCTGTGAATTGGGAACTCTGCAGTTCGGTGCGAGGAACACTACGTAATTTCCTCCGAAGAACACTACGATATTTTCCTGATCTTATATGTTGCTCGCAGATATGGAAGAGAAGAAACAATTTCATCTTTCAAAAGCAAACGTTGACGGTACTTCTGGTTCTGGTGCTAGCGAGTAGCAAGAACGACTTAAGACTAGGAGATCTCCGAAAATCTTTCTAAAATTTACTCTTAAATCATTATTTACAGAATTATTTAAAACTTGTGTGCACTTTAGAAAGTCATCCTCACACTCCGTCTTTGACAAACGAGGAATTAGGAATAGAAAATATCTATATCTGGATATCTGTTTAAACGGGTTGTTAAAGAGTTTTTTTAATAAAAAAAAACACTATTCCTATAACTTAGGAATGCTTTAAAAAATCTTTTGGAGTTGCCCAACTACAGGCATAGAGCAAATGCGAGACGACCACATTGATGCTCAATTTTCTCGGCAGCAATGTAAACCCAGCTTTATTTTCTTTTTTTTATTTTGTCTTATGTCCTAAAAAAACGACATTAACTATCTTTTTCCATTTTCAGTTAGGTGAACACTCGAGGGCCCAATGGCTTGAACGGCATTATGGGACAAATATCGGAGGTAGGGCTCCGCCTGACTTTGTTTCAAAATGCAAGAGCCAAGACGTTGCTTTATTTTAAGCTAAACATTATTAACTTTAGCGAGGTCTGTAAATATTATTAATATATCATCAATCCTCACATTGCTCGCTATTGTTTATCGTTTTATGTAGTCGTCATCAATGGTTGTTGGTAGTCATTGTTTTTTCTTGATCCTAGTTCTCAATGTTGTATTTCCTTTCCCCATCATCCCCATCTCCTAGGGAACTCCCTACTTTTTCTGGGAGTATTTCCATAACAACTCACTTCCGCGTATATGTTTTCGACTCCCCCCTGTCACCCTATTCCCCCCTGTCACCCTATTCCCCTTCCTCGATGTTGCTCCTCTAGCGAAGCCCTCGGCAAGGCTCCCCTCCCAGCGATGGTCCCCGCTTGCTGGCACCTGTCCTATCTTGACAAGGCCCATTCGATGATGTGGATCCTCTTGACGAGGCATTCAACCTCATCGCGGTTTCCTTCTTGTGCCCCGCATGTCCTATCCCGGCGAGGCACATTCGATGTGGCTCTTCTCGGCATGCACTCAACCTCATCGCGCTTTTCCCTCCCTGTGCTATCGATTCGATCTCCCCATACCTTCTCCGGTGCTCCTCCCCCTCTTCTCTCGCGCCTTCATATCTCAGTTCATTGGAACAACATCGGGTGTGAGCAAACGACAAGTCTCTGGTGCTCCTCCCCTTCCGCGTCTCCATAGCTTTAGTCGATTGTGACGATGGTGGGTGTGGCTGAATGACGAGTGGGTTCTATGCTAGTAAAATTTAAGAGCCCTGATTTAAGGTCTCCTGACTCTGAAAGGTAGTTGAGCCCTCAAATTAAAAGTAGGGAAAGCTTTGTAGTGTCCCTCTGATTTGAATGTTTTAATTTTGAATGCTCTAACGTAAGTTAAGTGTGGTTTGGTTTGAGAAATAAGTCGATTTATCTTCTTCTCATTCGTCACTTTTTTTTTAGTTTGTGGAATGAAATATGTTGCAGCATCACCACCTAATTTCTCACAAGATGATAATTGCTAACAGTTAGTATATATATAAGGACTGAATTGATTCCACCAAAATTTATGAGACGAACTCATAATACACCATCTCATAAAAGCATAAGGTGATTATACAGACCAAAGACACGTAAATTTAAAATTTAACGGCAGAGAAGCGTCGTTCAACAACCTGCTAATTGCCACTTTTCCAATAAAAAAAAGAAACAAAAAAACTCGTGCAAAGAAACAAAAGAGGCAACGAACCAAACAAAACCGAACAAGTCAAACCCGCGGGGATGCACGGCCAAAACGGCGGTGGAGAGTACCCAAACCCCGAAGTCTCGAACTGCCACACGGCCGAAGCGGCCATCCTCGTCACGACGCGCCCTGACTCAAATGAATGCGAGTCGCCCACCCCATCCCTTCCATCGTCCCTCCCGAGTCCCGACTCCCGAATGCTCCGCCACCAAACCAACTCCACCGACGGCGCACGGCAGGCAGCCCCGCAACAACGACACCACCTCGAGGCCCCCACCGAAAAAGACCATCTCGCCGCCGGGTCTGGACCAGCTCCCTCCCTCGACGCGCCCCTGGGATTCTGGACCCGGAACTGGCTAGTTTCGCCATTTCCTAGTCCGATCAAAACCCAACCTCCCCAAACCCAACGCACCCGGCTAGTCGCTACGCTCGCACGTCGCACCCGACCTCCGTTCCTCTCCCCTACCTCCCTTCTCTTCCGCCCGAAGTCTCCACGCTCCCTTTCTCCCGTTTAAAACCTTCGCTTCGTCTCGACTCTACTTGGCCGGCCATTTCCTCTCGTCCAATCCTCGCTCACGTCAAACCCTAGGGCCCCGCGCCTCCTACCCGGAGGCTCAGATCCAATGGGTGCGGCGCCGTCGACGCCGAGGCTGGGCGCCGCAGGCGCGCCGCCGTCGCCCAGCGCGGCGGAGCAGATGTTCGCGGCGCTGGTCGGCGAGAAGGCCTACCCAATCTCCTCCGAGTTCTGGAAGCAGCTGCTCGAGCTGCCCCTCACCCTGCAGTGGCCGCGCGACCGCGTGCTGCAGGCGTGCCACGCCTTCGGTGAGTGTGGCCCCCCTCGAGATCCACGTCCCACCAAGGAAATTTCGCGGCTGTGCTGATTGCTTCCTTGTGCTGTCGCGTCAGATGATTTTACTCCGTCTTCCTTTGAGTGTTTTGATCCGTGGGGCAATGCGGATCATGATCATGTGGTTTGTGTGTGTGGGGATCGTCGTCTGCACCGCGCGGTGGGTTCACACGCCTTTGAGGCGAACTGCTAGATTGGTCAGGGCGTTTACGGCATGTTTGCTACGCTGATTGTGTCGTTGGGAGGTTTTTCTAGGTGTCGGTTTCTGCGGATTTTGAGGTTTCTGTGTGTTTATTTTATGATGATGGGGATCCTGCGGGGTTTAGTTGCCGTTCTGGCGAATTTCATCCGGGCTTGTTGGAATCAGTGAGGCATGTTCCTAATTACTCCGAGTCTAGCCTGACTGGCCTTGATTTTGTTGAAAACTATGCCATATTGGCATGTTGTAATCAGGTTGGTAATTTCTGAGTTTCCGTGCGTTTGGCTGACCGGGTTTGTTGTTACTTGAACTAGTTCAGCGAGTAAACCGTGCATCTCCCGTTTTTTTGGTAAGCTGACCGCTTGAGCAGAAAGGAAGATGTGATTAAATGTGAACATTAGGTGCTAGCTCCAATTTGGACATGTGATGGAAACACTGTGATTTACTGTATAATTGATTGATGATTGGTTTTGGAGTTCATGGTGTCAAATGCATGTGGCTTGAACCACTTGGGACCAGCGATTGTGCTTCATGTTCCCAGTAATTAGTGACCTTGCTGATGTGCCAATGCAATGGCGATACACTGTATACTGTTTCAATCTCCCACTTTAGTTAGCTTGATCCTCTGAATATTCCGGCTGCTTTAACATTTACATGATTGGATTTTCAAATATATTTAGTTCATAATTATCTATGCTTATGGGTCTTAGTTATGTGCATCTGCAGCCGAGAATAACTACCAAACAAAGCATCTTGCAAAGATTTTGATCCATTTGGTTTGGTGCTTGCAAGAGTGCACCTCAACAACTTCTGTATCTTCTGTCGTATATCGGAGGGCGATCAATGCAGCATACATATCATCCATATTTCTCAAGTTCATCATTGAAAACACAAAAACTGACAGTTGGCAAGAGCTATGCCTTGACATTGACAGGAGTGAGAAGGGGTTGGAAAACTTCCCTGCAGGTAATTGATTATCCACATCCAGTAAGATTCTCTGTGTCTGATTTGTTGCAAAGTGTGCTTCTTCTGTAAGCTGCAATATCTATACTGCTATACGAGTGAATTGGCCATAATTCTTATGATCTTTGATGTTCCCTTGATCCTTGAAGAAAACTCTGTGGAGTATTTTCTGATGAGAGGTGTGCTGGACTATATTGGTAGTGTGGATGTAAGGTATCTTATTCATCACTTCCATATATTATTTTTTTCCCTGTTTTCATGTATGTTTTATTTACATTTGATCTAACTGTTATTTTGTACTGTATCAAGTCCGGAGTCATGCTACCTACATCACGAACTCCTGAACTTGATGCTAGTTCTTATGTCAACTCAGTTATGTTCTGGACCATCTCCAGAGCCAAAGGATGTGCATCCTTTCATCGATGCAGCTATGCTTCAGGTAATAGCTGAAACTAGTGGCGCATCATATATGATAATTTATTTCCAGACATTCTTGGGATAAAATTTGAAGTGTATCTCGATGCGGCCTGTTTCATTTGCAGGACACCTCCATAGTGGCTTCAGTGGTGCAAAAATTGTTGCTCAATTTTGTAACACGGCCGAAAATTCCTCTAAATGCTTCACACCCTGTTTTCTCTGATGATGGTAGGCCTGGTGTTCTGCAGCGAGTTGGCTCAGCAGCTGGTAATGTGGATCCTTCAGCAATATTGTTTCTAAGAATCTGAGTTGCTATATTGTCTTCATGATGTGTGTCATGTCAATGTCCCAAAGAATATGTAGCCTTCTAAGTTCAGCTTAAATATATTTAGAAAATGTCAACAGTTTCATTTTTTTGTATTCTCATGATGGTTTTAGTTGATGTCCCTCTTCTGCTCTGAAGAATCATATTGTCCAACCCTTGTTCCTAATTTGCAACAGTATGCTAGTTAAAAGTTATAATGTTCGCTTTAGGTCAGATGATGTTAGAATATGTATGTTTTTTTACTATTAGTCTATTACGGGATATCTTAGAAGCCATTCTTACAATTCTTAATCTCTACTAAGGGACTCTCTTATCTTGTTCTGCAGCAAATTTCGTCTTATTGCCATATTATACTTTCAACTACCTTGTAAGCTCAACTCCTGAGGGTGCGACGAGTCAATTGGCAGATAACAGTTTACTTGTTCTGCTTATCATGATCCACTACCGAAAGTGCATTTCAACTAATGAGTCCATTCCAATCAACAATGTATATACAATGGACTCAAATACCAATGACAAGGATGCTCCAGTTTTTCATGATAACCCTTATTGCAAGGCATTAAACAGTGCTAAGGACATACAATGTAAGATGCACCAGTACTACAGAGAAAGTGTGGCACTTATATAGATCTCTAATAGTTACAGAAATGAATTACTATGCAGATGATCGTGCTGATGTTGAAGGAAATGCTCAAGATGGACCTGTTATCAGGTTGTCTTTTGCATCGTTGTTTGATGCTCTTGGAAGGTAAGTAACGATCATCTGTTGATCCTTAAGATACCACACATATTTTAATGCATTAGCAGCATGTCAAATTTCAAAATATTTGCATTCATTCTAAAATTATAATGGCAGTGCTCCATTTTCCCTTGAAAAACAAAACACATGGATTATAATAATATTAAATATTGATCTTCTGATAGAATTGTGTCACAACTTTTGATGGTTAAAAATGAATCTACACTTCTCGGCAGTTAATATGTTACATTTAGGTTTTGGCGTGTTTCAGGGCTTGTCTAGGGTCTATTATAATTTGGATCGATCATATTCCATGATGCTCAATTTATCTTCTACTAGAAAAATCTTCTTGTAGTTTTCTTCATTAGTTTCTATTATCCTTATTCCTTACAGATGCTTAAATGATGAGAGCTCGGTTCTGTTGCTCTATTCTTTGGTCCATGGGAACTGTGACTTTCAGGAATATGTCCTGGTTCGAACAGACTTGGATACTTTGGTACGTTTTGTTCGCCTTATATCTAACTATCATTGCTGGAGCAAATGGACATTTAGGTCTGACTGGAATATGCTATGGATTAATAAAACATCTGCACCTTTTAAATAGTTTCCTTTGCAATGAGTGTATATTAGCATTTATTATGATTTTGATTAGTAGCATATGCACATTGGGCTTATTTTTGTTTCATTCTTTTTCCTTCATGAACTGGCTTTTAGTTTGTTAATAGTAATGATATTTTATTTTGTTAATAAGACTCACTTATGTGTTAATATCACTCAGCATAAAAAAGGTTAAAAAACTGATTGTTTTTTTATCTAATTACATAATAACTGTCTTTGGGAGAGGTGTGGTGTGTGTTGTACGGGGTCTCTTCCCCTTTTTTTTCCTTCTTAATTTAATGAAGCGCAGTTCTCCTGTGTTTTCGAGAAAAAAAATAACTGTCTATTCTCTAATATAGATTCTTATTGATGCATGCTAATTTCTTTTGTCAATCATTTTAATAGCTGATGCCTATCTTGGAAATGCTCTACAATGCATCAAGGAAGACATCGAATCAGATTTACATGCTGTTGATTATTCTCCTGATCCTCAGTCAAGATTCAACCTTCAATGCTAGTGTGCACAAATTGGTAAGCAAACTAGTTACTTCTTAATTTGTTTGTTTGTAAAACTGTTAATAATAATATCACGTGCAACTCCAGGTGCTCCCTGCCATTCCTTGGTACCATGAGCGCCTGATGCATCAAACGTCTCTGGGATCTTTGATGGTTGTAATACTAATTCAGACCATCAAGTACAACCTCTCCAAGCTAAGAGTAGGTATCAGAATCTTTGTTGTTTTGTACAGGAAGGAAAGTTGAAACTAGGTTCTTAATCTACCAATTGAAAGTTGCCTTTTGAACTTCCCTACCATTTGCTGCTACAGTTTGTATTTTGCGTGCAACACTATTTGTAGTACTAACTGTTTAATGATAAGCTTATATACACTTGCAGGATGTCTACCTTCATACAAACTGTCTTGCAATTTTAGCAAATATGGCTCCTCATGTGCATAGGCTGAGTGCTTATGCATCGCAAAGGCTAGTTAGTCTCTTTGACATGCTTTCTCGCAAGTATGTTAGCCTTTACCCTTTCCCCAGATTTATTTACCTTACTTTAGTGCTAACTTCAAGTTGAACCTAAAGTAATCTTGCTTGTTTCTATGTACCATGCAATAGGTATGCCAAACTAGCTGAGTTAAAAAATGACAAGTCTCTGAAAGTTATTTCTGATCAGATGGAAGCAGACAACATCGCAGATGATATGGTAGTCTACATTTATTTTGTTCCATGATGTCATCTTCATCATTTCTCATGTTTCTCTTCTTTTTCTAAATAATTATTTATTTTTGCAGTCTACAGAGCTTCACATATATACAGATTTCTTAAGAATTGTTCTGGAAATAATCAATGCAATCCTTACATATGCATTGCCCAGAAATCCTGAGGTATGTATTGGCCTGCAATTCAGTTTACTTGACAGGACTAGCACTGCTTCTAACATTTTTCTACAGGTTGTGTATGCTGTATTGCATCGACAAGAGGTTTTTGAGCCATTTAAAAATCATCCACGTTTCAATGAACTGCTTGAGAACATATACACAGTATGTGTTACTGTTTATCTCTCATGAACTTTCAGAAGTACACATAAATCTATTTTCCAGACTCATCACATTGTATTCTACGAGTGTCTGATAGGTATTGGATTTCTTCAATAGTCGAATGGACATGCAACAATTAGATGGGGAATGGTCTGTGGATAAGGTGCTTGAAGTCATCAACAAAACTTGCCGTTCATGGCGTGGAGAAGGGATGAAGGTAGTAGTTTCATCTTCTTTTACTTCTGGGCTTAAATTTATGTATTTATGATGGCAAGATCTTCTGGCAATAAAATTGGCTGACAATATACAATGAATTATTTTTCAGATGTTTACCCAGTTACGGTTTACATATGAGCAAGAAAGCCACCCTGAGGAATTCTTCATCCCATATGCATGGCGCCTTGTCCTATCACGGGGGTAATCATTTGCTGTTCTATATATGATTCACAATTTTTAGATGGATCTTTAGCAAACCGTTATTTTTTCCCGGAGTGGTACCTCCCCCCACTTGGGCAAGTGGAAATGTCCTTTCCCAATATAGAGATATCTTGATGTTATACATTGCGTCTTGCCTCACATGGATCTCATAAGCTTTCACATGTAAATTAGACACGATTTTGAGATTTTGTCCACTCTTTAATGGCCAACTCAGTTAGACACTTAAGAGTCTAGAGCAGTGTCTTGGTTCATGCCCACATGTCACGCTCTATTTCCAAATTTAACTTGCACTGATTTGCCATACAATTCACAGATTCTCCTTCAATCCCAGCGCCATAAATCTCTTCCCTGTGGAGGTTCACCTTGAAGTGAGTTGTTTTCTTCTTTGCTGAGTTGACGCGTTTAATATCAGTCAGATATATGCTTTGATCTAAATTGCGGCACCCAGAACATCAAATGAATAGTCAAATATGATGCTTAGTCCTTTTTTTTTGTCTGTGCGTGCATCTGTTTTATCAAATATTATGCAATGTTCTTTTTTTTCTCACTAACATTTTCTTTCTGCCAAAATGATTCTCCCAGGACGCACCGGCCGGTGAACAAAAGGTTTAGGAAGAATGGTACGAACCAGAGTTCTGACAAGAACATAAAGGCATTTTTTTTTGTTTCATTGTGGCAAAGAGCACGATGTAAATAGGCGGCATATACCATATACCAGGTAGTCGAATGTACACATTCTTTTGTATTAAATAGTTCTGTTGTTTCATAATATGTGTAAGAAGGAAGAGGGTGGATGGATTGCGCAAGGGTTCAGATATTGTGCTAGTATAGGGGGTAGATTACTATGTAGTGTATACACAATTCTTTCATAAATTATCGTTGTATTATACCCTTAAGCTGAAAGGCCTTGTAACCACGCTGGCCACTCTTTATTGTAAAGTTGTAAACTCTGCGATCTGGTCTTTCTCCGTTATGTGAAGTGTGAAGTGCTGGTTCTGGTCTCCGATGTGTCATAAGAAGCATACCACAAGAGTCGTAAAGAGTCACATGTATCAACACAACTGAAATAGGTGAGCTCATTAGCTCATAATAAAACTACCCGATAATACTAAGTGCCTTTTAGTTCTCAAAATTTTGCAAAATTTTTTAAGATTCTTCGTCACATCGAATCTTTAGACGCATGCATGAAGCATTAAATATAAATAAAAAATAAAATTAATTACACAGTTTAGATGAAATTTACGAGACGAATCTTTTAAGCCTAATTAGACTATGATTGGACACTAATTGCTAAATAACAACGAAAGTGCTACAGTACCATTTTCTAAAAAATTTCGCCAACTAAACAAGGCATAAGTTTAACTCATCTCGACACCAAATTACCAGATCAAGATCACCATAGCACATATAGCAGCATGTCTTTAACAACATAGATATTCAAACCAGTTGTAAAAAAAAACAGAGATATTCAAACCATTATGAAATCCATGGGTTTAGAAATCGGTCCATGCTTATACTAGGGAAAAGTTCATAGGTTGAGTCTTTTTACACATTGCAAACCCTAAGGCCATGTTTGGATGTTGTCGTATTCACCTTAATCAACATGTGTAGGTGTGGATTGGACTGAAATTTAGTTTTAAGTTTCACTCCAATCCATTCTAACATAGTGGATGGGCCTTGTTTAGATGTTGTCGTATTCATCTCAATCCACGTGTGTTGGTATGGATTGGACTGGAATTTAGTTCAAGTTTCACTCCAATCCATCCCAACACAGCAGATTGATGTGAATCTGACTAAATCCAACTCCATAGTGTTATTACAAAAGTGGAGATTGAGTTTGTATTCCTATGGATCCACCTATATGCAACCAAGCTACAGTCCAAGGTGCGTGATAGAATCATCATTTAGAAATGGACGATCGATGGACAATACTCCACACACTTAGCATATTATATCTAATTCAAAGGTATTTACGGTAGACATAAAGTTAGTCTGATTTGGAAGACACATGTGAAAAATAAATACAAAAAAATTACTTAGGACGCTCATGCAAGACCCAAACGCAACCATCCGACTCATGTGCCGCCGTCACCTACCTGCTCCTCACTCCACCGCCGACGCTGTCACGCCTAGGGCCCCTCCTTCCTCTCCAGTGCGTTTGACGGAGACAAGAAGGGAAGGGGACCCATCATTTTCCCACAGTTTTCTAGTGTCTTAGGGTTCAAATAAATTTTTCGACGAAATCAGATGGTTTTCGATCAGGATCGTCGGTGATTACCACGACGAGATCGTTGTTGCAGGCGTTGATTTCATCGGCAGGCGGCCAAATCGTGGCCTTTATCTGCAAGGGGAGGGGTGCTTCTGGGAGCCCCTACGAGGACACTGACTCTGGGTCATCGATCTCATGTCGATGGTCGCGAAGAGAAAATCAAGGTCTCGAGGTGATGAATCCGCATCCTATATCATATCCAACGATGCAACTGCCGATATTCTTTCAGCGATTTAGATATGTTTTAAACTGGTTCGGAAGCGCGGTATGTCTAATGTTTTAGGTTAATCATTGGATTCGGTATAAAGACTACACTTTTGCTCCGGCGTTCGAGAGAAGCCATTAAGAAGAAGACGATGGAAAAATCTAGACAGAATATTATGTATTTTTATTTTAGATTTTTTTTCATATGTAATTTAGGATGTACTGTACTAATATTTAATATAAGCCCCCCTTCTCTTGAAAAAAAAGCTTACTCTACCCTTCAAAACTGTTTGGGGCTAAGTCCTTGCGTCGGAACTCGAAAGCATACAACATGGGGCAACTCGTCCGATCCGAGGACTTCCCAACCATTAGTGGAAACTAGTAAGGATACAACATGGAACAACTCATCTGACATAAAGGACTTCCAAACCATTAGTGGATACAACATGGGACAACTGGTTCTCCCCCAGCCATTAGTACTTCGTGAAATCAATAGTATAGTGATCTATATCTTTTGCAACTCTCCTCACTTATATGGTTTTTGGGCCCAGTTTCCATTAAAAAACTAGACAGGCACTTGCCTTTTTTCCTTTCTTTGTCTAATAGAAATCACGACAAAACTTTTACTGTCCTTTCTAAAAGAAAGGAACACAACCGACGGATCTTTAGAAACAAACCACAAGTGGCGTACCAGGTGACGTTGAGAAAAGGGAAGATATTGAGCAACATAGTAAGAGGTTCAGATCACCTCTGTAGTTCTTCACTTCTTCTACCTGTCCTCTTTCTTTCTTGTGATTGGCTCCTCACCCGGTTTGGTTTGGGGTGCTGCTTTAGACTGGATTGAATATTGGTTGTTTTAAAAACTAAGTTCCATCTTAATTGAATCAGAGTTCCTGCCACCTTCATTTAAAAAAAAACTAAATATGGTTCCAAGCCAATAAAAACACATTATCTATTGAGACGCCCAAAAATTCCTAATCAGCATACCAAGTTCTTTATTGGCTTGGCTCAAAGCCAATACAGGTTTTGTATACTCGCTCCATTTCATTGGTTTATACAAGTAACAAATTAGCTGGGTCGGTCAACATGCACCCTGAGATACTTGTCTAGGACATTCTGGAATATCTGCATTAGAAAAAAAAACAATATCGTAAAACATATTAAGTATGTTTCACAATGAAAATTCTGCAAAAGGCTTCATTAGATGGTTTCCATTTCAATATAAGATCACCAAATATTTCAACACAAGCAGCTCAGCAAGGACTAGTTTGTTTCAAAATTTCCATGATAGGTCAGAAGCACAGGGTTGATCATATTATATTTAAGCTAGTAATTGACATGTCAATTAGTTTTCACTGTTATGTCATTTAACAATTAGTAGAGATTGTGACTTAATGATATGTATTGAAATGGAAATATTTTACAAATGTGTAAGTACCTGAAAAGAAAACAATTCCTTCCCGTTGAGAAGCACATCCATTGCAGCATACTGGTCGTCAAACACGCTATAAAATATCTTGTAGAACTCAACCCTGCATCAATCCATTCAACAGTTTAGTAGACTTAAAATGTGGTCCAAGTTATGATTGACAGGAGAGTACTGACTGTTCTTCTTTTGTTGTTTGTTGATCCATCTCATCAAACTTCCTAGTCAGTATCTCTGCTCCTACTGGCCCAAGCATGTTGAGAACTAAACTCTCTAATGTCCTTGGGAAAGTATGCTGAAAATCATAGAAGTTTAGGAGTGGTCGGCTTAACAACAACAAAATATTGTTGTACTTATCAAAAAAAAAATTGTAGCAGCGTACACAGATGGGATTCAAAAGATAACAGAAATGCAAAAATATCAACCGATTGATTTTTAGCTTGTAACGCATACCACCACTGCAAGCAGCATACTCCGCAATTCAAGTGGTTCAACTGGCAAAATGATTTTTGCAACAGGATCTTTGTCCAAGAGGGATGAATCATCTGCAGCAGCACTCGTCTTTGTTTCGTCTCTTTGGTTGGAAGATTTATTCTGGGATGTGGCTTCTGTTTTGTCATTTTGGCTAGCCACTTCAGCACCATCATGGACCAGTGAGATCAGTTCATAAAGTGCTTGCAGAGTGGAGGGTTCCAGAGTTTGCAATGGTGAATCTTTTTGCAAACTGAATAGCTGGAAACCTGATAAATGATAAACACAAATTATTAATTGTTTGTTGTAATCAAAGGGGAATAGGATCCAAGGAAACATGATAAACATAAATATAAAGGTAGCCGTTAACTCAATTCTAAATAAAAAAAGTTGCCGCAGAAACAAATTTATGCTGATATCAAAGTATCAAACTACCAACAACACTGTAGAAGTTATTGCATCGATGAATAAATTAAAATAATTCATAGGATGAAAATCGTAAGGAGTTTCAGGTGGCTTAGTACATTACTGACCTGTCAATGTTTTGGCCATGCGTTGAATATCGGTGCGATCTTTTGAATGACCAAAAGGACTCTTCTGCACCATTATGCTCTGTCTCACGAGAAATGGTGAAGGTAAAACAAAATTATTGATTAGAAGAAACGTGACCATGTTTCACTTATAGGAAATAGGAATAAAGACCCAAATATATGAAGAGAAAAAAAAAACGCAAGGTGCATGCGTGCATGCAAAGTAGATGAACCAGCTAAAGTTTAACCGAATCAGATTAGGGAAAGGAGTGAAATACACTAGGTGACTGTAGAAACCAATAACAGACACCGAGTTTTCTGACGATGAAGAGAAATGCCCTTTTTTCCTTGTTCTACTACAAAAAAATTGAACAGGGTAACAGGGCATACCATCTCCTGGTCCACCAATCTTTACTAGAAATCATTTGTAGAGGTAGAAATCCACGAGAGTGTGTGGAAACAAGGGTAAAATAGTCAGATGTTGGTTAAAAGAGGTATTGTGAAGTAAACATTTAAAACATAAAATACTTGATTAGGACTTAATTACATCAATGTCCTTCAATTCCAAAATCACATTTATCAGGATAAAAAGTCTATCCCTCATTGTCATGTGGCGGCAGGACTATAGCCATTAGTCAGCTATCAGCACCTATGTGGGGCAGGCAGCAGAGCAGCAGTTGCTGTGCCTCCTCCAGAAGCCACCTAGGCTTATAGAGAAAAGTCCTTGAGATATCCTACTCGACTGTTATGTGTCAAGTTTTTTTAGTTAGAGGTAAGGTTGCTTTAAAGAGTGTGGATTGTTCAGGGGTATTTCTAAGAGATATAAATCATTCTGCACTAGTCTAGTTTTCCATGGGAGGATAGCTTGTGGGAGCCTACTCTATGAGCTGACCTTAGATGGTTATTTCTATTAGCACATGCCAAAAAGGTAATTTAAGTGAAAAATATGTTTTTATCCCTGTATGGCAAATTATGTATAATATTTAGAAATGGAAAAGGTGGAAGGTCGCTAGGAAGTACAAAAATACTTGTACACGTGTCACCATGGACAACCAATCTATGGCTAATTATGTATAATATTTAGAAGGAAATGTACATAGCTGAATGAGTTACAAAATACCTGCTCAGGATTCGGCGTAGATAGTAGGCATCCATATGTTCTAACATTTGAGTCATTATTCTTGACTTCCACCAAAAGTTAACTGCTATGGTTAAGTCGTCACTGTCAACTTGGTGATACCTGTTACAAGAACACTCAAAAGTGTTAGCTGGATTAATGCAGTACTGATTTATCAGATATAAAGGACATAACAAGATAAAGAAACGGACACTGCTATTCAATATGTGCCAATGTCACATACAAGTATCTTAGGAGGGAAAAGATATCTCAAACAACATCACTGCATTCTACATTCAGACGAGTTCATATCAGCGTTCAAATAAATTTTAGCTCATAATTGAAAGATGCAGATTACAGGTGACTTGATATCATTTTTCTATAAAAAAAATCTAAGTATCCGGATATAGGATGCCAAAACTCAGGTTCAAGTGTTAGGCTGTGAGCCTCATAGTAGTAATAATCAATAATAAAATATAGAGATGTACCATCCTTCTGGTATGAAAACAACATCGCCGCAGTTTAGAATGACTGTTTCAGAATATTCCTCCATGTATCTTGCCCTTGTATATGTTGAATAATCTGGCTCCTCCATGCTAATAGAGCTGCCAAAAAGATAGCGAGATAAGAAGAGGTATTTTTGACTGCCAAATTTTGAATTACTAAAAGATAGTTCAAATTGCTTAAGCACTTCCTGAGCAGAGGATTTTACCTGTGGTTGGAGGCCTCACCATACACAGGCAACGGGTATAAGAATGGGGATGCAGATGGAGGCCACAAAGTAACTGTGTGAAATATATAGGAGCAAGAAACCATTAGCCTAGGTACCTCTAGACAACCGACACAGGGTGCTACAAATACTCAATAATACAAAAGCTACAAAGATAAGAATCATTTAGAAATTAGAATGATGGAAGTCCAAAATTAAAATTTGAAAAGGAGAAACAGTGATTTTTTTAATCCCATCTGCAGCTGCAGCAAAAGGAGTTCCTATGCTGTCCCAATTTGATACATCCACCAAAGCACAATGAACTTGGAAAACATGGGGGAATCTAAACAATGTCAAAGCATTGCCTTTGTGACACTGCCCCAGAATGGTTATTAGAAACAACTGGATTATATGAGAAAAATTCCCAAATAAATTAATTCTTAAGGGTTATGGTCAACAGTACAAAATGGCATCAAATTATAACAGATTTTCTAAAAGCATGAGATACGGACCTTTTTTGCAACCAGATACCACACAGAGAAGGTTATGGTGGGGATCGTAATGAGTACTTGATCTCAAGTGACCCTTATTCATCCAAAAGTTTATTGACGAAAATGATTTTCCTCTCAGAAATATAGGCTGTAGCAGTAAAGAGAAACAAATTAATAGAACAATGAACTTCGATGTGCAACTTGAAAGTCATGTGGAGAGTAGACTATTTGACTAAAAGGCAAAACTAGTTCAGACCTCCTGGATGTCCCCTTCCAAAACTTGTAATGAGCATCTCTCTTTGTTCTCTGCGTTCATAATAGATACCTGCTAAAGGTAAATTGCTAAGTCAATTTCAAGATAACACTAGCCTCATAAAATGTGAGCTTGCCTGTGCCAAATAGACTTGCTCCAAGTTCTCTGAGCTGTTCGAACACGTCTCCCTTGAACAAGCTGGCTCCCCAAGCATTCCCTGCTCTTTGGATGAATCACTAGCTGCATTCATATGATTCAGGTAAGACTTGCACGACTGAATGAACGTGGAGAATGAAACAGAAACCTGCATGGAGGAAAAAGTAGCATTAGTGCCTCAATGCAAACAATCCATATGGCTGGATTTATAATTTGCAAGTTCAGAGCAAAAACCAGCCCTCTCATGGCTTCTGAGATCCCCGTAGAACACATGGCCAGTGTTTGACATCATAGCTTCCACAGCGACATCAGGTCCCACTTTTTCCTGAAGAACAATCGGACCAAGAGCGACGATTGAAGTGAAATGTCTAAAAGAATAATTGCTTTTCAACCCGATGCCTCATACGCATTGGGAGACTTGATAAGAAAAGAACAAGAGCTGGATTGGTAGAAACCAGCAGGTAGTCGAGGCCGCCATGGAGAGGATCCCAGCGGGAGGAGGCCGCCCACCCCTTAGCCACGTCGCGAAAGACCTGAAGACGCGATTTAACCACACGGGAACGTATCAAGACCTGACGGAAGCAGAACTTAGTAAGGCGTAGGGTAGAAGGATTACCGCGGGGACGTTCTTGGGCTCGACATCAGCTGCAAACTCGTCGGCAGACGGCGGCGAGGAGAAGCGGGCAGCGCGGAGGCCGGCGTCCAGCCTCGCGCCCACGAGCTCCCTCTCTTCGCCCATCGCCGGTCCGGAGGACGGAGGACGGAGGACGGTGGTCACGGTGCGCTATACACTGTAGATGAGAAAGAAAAAAGGTTAAGGGCTTTGCCTAAAGTTTAGTTCGTATCCACAGGGTGTATGACACGTGCATGAATATTAAATATAAACTAAAAATAATTAATTACACATGCTGTGACTAATTTATAAGACGAATTTTTTAAGTCTAATTAGTCTATAATTCGACCATGTGGCACTACACAAAGCTACTATAAACATGTGCTAATGACGAATTAATTAGGCTTAATAAATTCGTCTCGCGGAGTACTAGGGACTTCTGTAATTTATTTTATTATTACTATCTAAATACTCTCATGTGACACCTCAATGTAACACCCGATATGACACCCTAAATTTTAGCCCTGGATTTAAATACCACCTAAGTTTTGTTTAATTGTTGCGCTTTTAGCCGGGCCGCCCATAACCTTTACATGAAAAAAAAAGTGACATTGTAATTCGCCCGATAGTTGAAATATGTCATTACGAGTTAAAAAAATATGTAGTCGTATATCGGTTTTGTTTAATTGTTGCGCTTTTAGCCGGGCCGCCCATAACCTTTACATGAAAAAAAAAGTGACATTGTAATTCGCCCGATAGTTGAAATATGTCATTACGAGTTAAAAAAATATGTAGTCGTATATCGGTCTCCTATACTTTTGTATGGACGTTAATGCCCCCGCGCTACTTTCACTAGACTTAGTTGATCGGAGGAGGAAACTTATTTCGTCCCCGTTCTCTTCTCATGTTTCCAAGGTTGAACCCTAGTGCGGCGAAGCGAAATCCAGGCAATTGGTGGCGTTGAGGGGCTCTTCTCTGGCGATGACGGGACGATGAGCTTCACCACCGGTCCAGGAGCGGTGTGGCGAAGATGGAGCCCACCGTGAACAACGGTGAGCGCACATAGAGTCCGATGTCAGTAGTTTCCAAACAAGGTATGCCATGTAGACCCTGACCTTACTAACTCTCCCCACGGATGGAGATTTAGATCCGTGTAGTGGGTGGTTTGTAGTCGAATCTTGCAGTAGGTTGCATGGTAGCGTCGTATTAGGGATAAAATTCATTGGTCTGTTTGATTGATATATGTTTGACTCAATTGGATCTTATTTGTTTACTACTAGAGTTGAAATGTTTTTGTTAGAGATCAAAGTTGAAGGCTTCTTTACCATAAACAATGATGGTAGAAAAGCGTAGAGTAAGGGCAAGCTTATTAAGTGGGATGTGCAAGTAGGAGCGCTTACATTATATATGTTGTTAAGAACTCTATCCAATGAGGTGAAATGGAGCTCGAACCAGAATGACACGGTCTTGTTCTATGACAAGTGGTTGGGCGAAGATGTGAAACTTGTATATGAGAGGCATATGGTAAGCCTGTTTCAAATGTATAAGTCAAAGATGCATTGCAAGTAATATAGTTGTGATGGATAAATCACTTTGTGATGAACATGAGTTTGACAATTTAGAATCAGTCTGTGGTGCCACCTGATGACCCAAAGATTTGATGTCCACAATGAAGTTTGCCCACCTCCTAGTACGTCACGAACAAGTTGATGCTAGCTCCCTAATGTTGAACCGCAATCAACCACAAACAATGCTGGACTAGAAAACAACCAAAAACAATGTTGAACCCCAAACAACCACAAACAATTTCCAGCCCCAAACATCACAGCCAACTGAGAATGCACTACCAAATCTGTCTGACAATCCATAGCCTAATCTGTCTGATAATGAAGAAGAGCATGTCTGTGTTAATGATGAACACTTTTATATTCCAATACCACCATCACAACCAGCTGACAATGCACAATTTAACTCTCATGTGCCTCCTGCTTATGCAAATCAAATGTGGCAGCTAAAGGAGATGTACCTCCTGAGGTAGAGGTTAATGATGCAGATCTAGATGAGATTGGAGTTCTTCATGATCATGAAAATCCAAGAGTAGAGAAGGGTGCCCTATTTCCTGACATAGTATCATGTCGGAAAGTTGTGAGACAATTTGCAATCAAGAGGGGCTTTAAGTTTGTTAGTGGCTAGAAGACAGATAAACCAACACTACTATAGACTAAGCTATCCCAGCACCCTTTATCACCGCTAGTTAGAGGGATGGTGGGGGCTTGGAGAGCAATTAAACTGGCGGCCATAAGAAACTAGGCAATCTGCCACCTGACTACAGATTCTATGGCAAACAATGATTATACATATGTTAAATTCATACATCAACAAATCTTTGTTTGCTTGAATAAGCACCCGTAAGGGCTCTAGTCCCAACCTGTTGATTTGAGAACATTGTCGAGGTTTGATGCTTCTATCTCCAAGATAATACGGTTCACAGCTAAATAGCCCTTTAAGTACCCGTAGAGCTGTTGCAGCTTCAACATATATAGAGGACTAGAAATTCTTCTAAGATTTCCTGCACCGGCCTACAACACAATTCCTTCATGGCTACCAATAACAAATCCCCAGCCCTCTTGAACAGTACTAGCATGGAAGGAGGTACCAACATTTATCTTGCAAAATTCTTCATGTAAAACCTCAAATATATATATATAATAAAATAAAAATAAATAAAGAAACACGATCGAGCTAGCAGGCAGACTGCACCCTCATGCTCATGTCAAAGCTACTCTCGCAACTGGATATTTCTACTGGATAGGAACAAGCGAGGAGAAGAGATAAACTCAGGCGGGATATTTCTACCGGATAGGGACGCACGGTAGAGAAGATATCTCTTGGCTGATTTTTCCTAGGGTCTCATCCTTTCCCATCTACTGCAGTCTCATCCATTCCCATTTACTACGAGCATCGTGTAGAACACTCCCCTGCTAATATAAAAGGCCCTGCTCCCATCCCTCCAAACCAGCACCACACACTGATCAAACCTGCACACCACACACACATCGAGCAACAGCGTACTCGTTCTTGGGGCTTGCTGAAGTGAAAGCCGAACAACTAGGGTAGGAGCAGGTACTGTCCCACCTGCTGGTACTTCTACTATAGCACTCATACTAGCTGTCACCCTAGGTCTCAGCTAGCTGCTCAAACATGCAGCTACGATCATAACATAACATGATGTGTGTAGCTAGATTTAGACTACCATGCATGAGACGATTAGTACTACTTCATTAAATATCACTTTCTTGATTAGTTAACTTTTACAGGTCAATTTTACTACTAATAGTGATGTCATCAAGTACCAGACGGCCCTGTTTGTTTCGCTAAAATTTGGGATAACCAACCTTGAAATAGTTATGCACGGGCTGTGGTCCGTGTGAAGGATTCACACAAGTAGAGTGTATGGTAAAATGGATTCACACAGGTAGTAGAGTGTATGGTAAAATGGTTCTCAGATGAAGGGGCGCGCCGTATAAAATAATTATTGGTGGGAGATGGTGACGTGAAGACTCTGCACTAGTTATTACCACTAAGAGCGTCCACAGTGTGTCAACCCATCCTTGGGTCTTAACTGGAGCCCACAACTGATTAGACGTCACATGTTCTTCTATCAACAATGTATCGAACCCAGCATGAGTCCATACGTGGGCCCAAAATCAACTGCACCCTCCTCGCCTTTGTGCGAGCAGCAATGCCAGGAAAGAGTTCTTTATTTCTTCGACCTAGGTTCCATGCGAAGGAGCCGGTCCTTCGTCGAACCATGGTTGCAGTGTATAGGACCGGGTTCCATCTTAGCATTTATTGTATCGCACTGGGTTCGACCCTCCCACAGCGGATGCTCTAATGCTTGGTTCTTATATATTTATTTCTCGTACATGTTAATCTCTTTATTATTCTTGTTGAGTATGTTTACTCATCTAGCTCTTCTTGTTGACCCGCGCAGAAAGAGGAGAAAGTAGTACTGCTGGGCGAACTGGCAGACATGCATGTATAGGGTGGGCATAGCTGTGACATCTACCGGGGCCGTAGTTTTGCTGCGCTAAATAAAAGAACAAGGATAGCTGCCTTACAAATGTAGACTCCGATAATCTATAATTGTGACACAAAGTATATTAATAAAGCGTGCTTACTGTATGGATTTTGATGTCTCTTTTTGCCTTGTGTGTATGAGGATTTTAAATTTTCATACACATACGGCACTGTCACCGAATTATTTTTGGGGCATGACACTTCAGGTGGTGGGGTCTAGTTAACCTGCATATATTGTGTTGCATGTTTTTTCGTATCCGGAACCTTCTCACAAATCTTCAGGTGATATATGATAGAGTTGCAAATTTTTGCTTCAGAGGTCATTTTCTCCCCCTCGTTAACTTTATTTGTCACTGAACCTTGTGGCGAACATTTTGCTCCATCTGAAGGATTGAATTGATGGTTTCTATTCCTGATTTGCATTGTACAAGAAATTGGTGTATATCCTCAAGATTTAGTTCCTGCCAACAACCTCTTTTTTCTTGCACTTAAAAAAAAGATGACCACAATCTTCATCAAGTCAGTTACAAAATTGTATATAATTTGGCGTCCAATGTTTATCGTAAAAAAGCCTAGTTATTACCAGAGACTCAGAGTAACATACTAGAATGGTGCATGATCTACATGCAGCCACCCCATCTATGAATTTCTAACACATATTGACAGAACATTAACTTAATAACAAGTAAAGTATTCGGTGGTTGAAGATAAATGTTCTTGGAGTATGTTGTCTGACGTCTGGCAAAGACATAGCATCTTGTATCGCCTACGCTAGGAAAATTGTTATTGAATGTAATGAGTCTACAAAATCAAGCAAAAAATCAAATGGCATTGTTGAACAATATAAGGCTCGATTGGTCATGAAATGATTTAAACAACGGTATGGCTTGGACTATGAAGATACTTTTAGTAATTGTCGGTACAGAAAGTGACCAACACGTAAATATTTATAGTTTTGCTGTACGTTATGATCGGAGGTGGTCTAGCACTCAATGACACAGAGTTTATACTGGTTCAGGCAACATGCCCTACGTCCAGTTTGAGTC